GCTGGAGAGGGAACACAGCGTGTGATGGCCACTCTGTGCAGGTAGCAGGGCCGGTCCTGCAGGACAGGTAACGGGAACGGCGTTCCTGCTTTGGAGAAAGTGCAGGAACGCCGTTCCCATGCGTTCCTGCAGGACTCGAGCCCTGGTCACAGTATATACACCATGCACACTCAGAGAATGGGGGGTCACAGTATATACACCATGCACACTCAGAGAATGGGGGGTCACAGTATATACACCATGCACACTCAGAGAATGGGGGATCACAGTATATACACCATGCACACTCAGAGAATGGGGGGATCACAGTATATACACCATGTACACTCAGAGAATGGGGGGATCACAGTATATACACCATGTACACTCAGAGAATGGGGGATCACAGTATATACAGCATGTACACTCAGAGAATGGGGGGATCACAGTATATACAGCATGTACACTCAGAGAATGGGGGGTCACAGTATATACACCATGCACACTCAGAGAATGGGGGGATCACAGTATATACACCATGTACACTCAGAGAATGGGGGATCACAGTATATACAGCATGTACACTCAGAGAATGGGGGGATCACAGTATATACAGCATGTACACTCAGAGAATGGGGGGTCACAGTATATACACCATGCACACTCAGAGAATGGGGGGATCACAGTATATACACCATGCACACTCAGAGAATGGGGGGTAACAGTATATACACCATGCACACTCAGAATGGGGGGTCACTGTATATACACCATGCACACTCAGAGAATGGGGGGGTCACAGTATATACACCATGCACACCAGAGAATGGGGGCTCACAGCATATACACCATGCACACCAGAGAATGGGGTCAAGCCAGTATATAGCCACCATGCACACTCAGAGAATGGGGATCACAGCATATGGCCACCATGGCCACCAGAGAATGGGGCAACAGTATACACCATGCACACTCACAGAATGGGGGTCAATACATACACCATGCACACTCAGAGAATGGGGGGGTCACATATACACACCATGCAATACCTCAGAATGGGGATCAAGGCATATACACCACGTACACTCAGAGAATGGGGGTTCACAGTATATACACCACGTACATTTAGAGAATGGGGGGTCACAGTATATACACCATGCACACTCAGAGAATGGGGGGTCACAGTATATACACCATGCACACTCAGAGAATGTGGGGGTCACATTATATACAGCATGCACACTCAGAATGGGGGTTCACAGTATATACACCACGTACACTCAGAGAATGGGGGGTCACAGTATATACAC